GGTGGTCTCATCTACCCACAGTGGCACGGGGTGCAGGCAGTGATCTTTCAAGGGTGGTTGGCGCCCAACTGATGTCTTTGGCAGGGAGATAGGTTCTAATTTTTTTTTTTTTTAAGATGGAGTCTCACTGTGTCTCCCAGGCTGAAGTGCAGTGGCACAATCTCAGCTCACTGCAACCTCTGCCTCTGGGTTCAAGTGATTCCCCTGCTTCAGCCTCAAGAGTAGCTGGGACTACAGGCACCCGCCACCATGCCCGGCTAATTTTTGTATTTTTAGTAGAGATGGGTTTGGCTATGTTGGCCAGGCTGGTCTTGAACTCCTGACCTCAAGCAGTCCCTCCACCTCGGCCTCCCAAAGCACTGGGATTTTAGGTGTGAGCCACCTCGCCCGGTCAAGGAGACAGGTTTTAAGGAAGCCTGCAGGGAAGGTGGGGCTGAGAAGGGAATTTGAAAAGGACCACAGAGCCCAGAAGAGCCTGTGCTGTGAGAGAATGTGGCAGTCTAGAGAGAGACCAAAAAAGATGGGAACCCCAGAAAAAATCTTCTGGGAAAACTATAAATAAAGCCGTATTTATTGATTTGCGAGGCGTGGTCTCACTCTGTTGTGCAGGCTCGAATGCAGTGGCGTAATCAGCGCTTACTGCAACCTCGAACTCAAGTGATTCTCCCAACTCTGCTTCCCAAAGCGTCGTGATTGCAGGCCTGAGCAACCTTGCGAGCCGTATTTATCAGATGAAAGCCACCTCCCAGAGTAGCCTGGATCTGCTTCTTAGCCCCAAAGATACATACGATGGGATCTAGAGCCTTCTAGTAGGGGAAAGAACTCCCAGGAGCCAGGCGGGAGAGATGTTTGTCTAAAGGCACAGCATCCTAATGCCTATGTATACCCCTAGTACTTTGGGTGGCTGAGGCACGGGGATTGTTTGTGCCCAGGAGTTCAAGACCAGCCTGGGCAACATGGTGAGACCCTGTCGCTACAGAAAATGTTTTTTAAAAAATTGGCCGGGAATAGTGGTGCATGCCTGTGGTCCCAGCTACTTAGGAGGCTACGGTGGGAGCGAGGATTGCTTCGGCCCGGAGGTCCAGGCTGCAGTGAACCGTGTTAGGTTCCCAGTCCCAAAATATTGAAATACAAATAAAAAGATAAAGTGGAAAAACAAAGCTAGCTGCACCGACAGGTACTGGAATACGGTTGGGCTGCCACTGATAGAAAGTTGATGTTTATGTTAAGAAGATTCTGGGGCTGCCCCGCCCCTCAATGGGAGGGGCCTCCGAGCCACACCCCCACCTAAATCCCTACATCCCTGGGTCCCTGGCTACCTGGAGGTTGCACCGGGCCCAGGAATCAGGCAGTGGGGGCCTGAGGGGGCCAGAAGCGAGGGGTCAGGACCTTTCCTCCCACATCCCCCCAACTTTGTGCTATCAGTGCTCACTAAGCATGAAGGGCCCTGTGGTGAGGGAGGAGGGGTCTCGGGGACCCTGGGAACAGGAAGATGGGTCTGGGATCCGTGGTTCAGAGTTCTCCGAGCGTCTTGAGATCACGGAGTGGGGGTGTCACAGTGTCACACTGCTTACATCATCCCTCTACGGCCACCCACGACCGCTCGCTCACAGCGCGTGCAGGGCGCCAGGCCTGGGGAGCGGGGCGCCATGGGGGCTGGAGTCTGGGTCCTGGCCATCCTCTTCCCAACCGCCCTTGGGTCCCCCCCACCCCACTGCCCCCCTTTGGAGCGCGGCTCACCAGGCGTGAAGAGCGCGATGGCCTTGAGGCAGCCGTACTCGGCCGAGTCGACCTGCAGGCGGCCCAGCTTATCCACCTGCTCCTGGAAGGCGCGCACCTGGTCCATGAAGGCCACGGCGCGCTCGGCGGCCATGGGTGCGGCGTGGAGGCCGGCGGCGGCCAGCAGCGGCGCCGTGTGCAGGGGCAGCGCCGCCTGCGCCGCGTTCAGCACGAAGAGCTCGCTCCAGCTCAGGCGCAGCAGCGCCACCTGGTCGGCCACCGGCAGCTCGGGGAAGAAGGGCGCGTGGCGCGCCCACTCCACGGTGCTGAAGAGCAGCCGCGCCGCCAGCTCGCACACGTTGTCGATGCCCAGCACCGCGCCTGCCGCGCCGCCCCCCGCGCCGAAGCGCCCGGCCGCCGCCGGGTAGGGCTCCGCGCGCAGCAGCTGCGCGATCAGCTCGGACACCGGCTGCCCGGGGAAGAGGTCTCCGCCGCCCGCCACCGCCGCCAGCGCCGAGCCCGGGGGGCTGCCCGAGGAGGCGGCCACGGCGCCCGGCAGCGAGTGCGGGATGCGGCCGCGTTGCACCGCTGCGGGAGGCGGGGACAGGAGGGATGTGGGGGCGGGAGGGGAGGCGGGGGCACCGCAGGAAACGGGGGAGGGACAGGAGACGGGGGGGGGGGG